TGAGATCAGGAGGATTGAGGTTCGAGGCCTCTCAGGACAAGTAAATACTTCCTGAGCCCCCCTCATCAACAAAATAACCAGAGCAAAATCGACTGGATATGTGGCTCAAGCATTAGAGCACCTGCTTTGCAAGCACAAAGTCCTGAGTTCCAACTCCAGTCCCACCAAACAAATAAAAAAGAAGAAATAAATTATTGTTAGGGAGACCAGCAAGAGGCACTGGGAGCCTGCAAGCCACTCTGTTCCTTGCCTGGACTGATGCCCATGGTGATCCCCCAGTCCTGCTTCTCTGCCTGCTGATCCTAGCAGTTACTGAAGGCAGGGAGACAGTCATCACAGGTTGTCACTTGTACCATTGAGTAACTCTGGGAACAGAGGGCTAGGAAGAATGACAGACACTACACGCAGGAAGCACACTGCAGAGACCCACATGGAGGCACAGACAATAGCAGCCAGGGCAAGCCTTTGCAGACAACTTACCTCTTTCCAGCCTTCAATGTGACAATGCAAAGCTACCAACAAGGCACCTGCCAAGGCTCCCATGTGGTACAGGCTGGCTTGGGCAACTATGAGTTCAGTGCCTTCCCTTCCTGGTACTCTGTGCTGGTGGCCAGCAGCTAGCTATGGACACAGCACTTCTGTCTCTCAGGGTTGCACCATCAATGGTTTCTAAGAAAGAGAGAGAGCAAGCAGAAGCCACTTGACTTCACATTCTGCAAGCCCTAGTCACTTGGGAAACTGAGAGCAGGAGGATTGAGGTTCGAGGCCTCTCAGGACAAAAGTAAAATACTGCCTGGAGCCCCCTCATCAACAAATAACCAGGAGCAAAATCGACTGGATATGTGCTCAAGATTAGAGCACCTGCTTTGCAAGCACAAAGTCCTTAGTTCCAACTCCAGTCCACCAAACAATAAAAAAAAGAAATAATTATTGTTCGGGAGACCAGCAAAGGCACTGGGAGCCTTGCAAGCACTCTGTTCTTGCTGACTGATGCCCATGGTGATCCCCCAGTCCTGCTTCTCTGCCTGCAGATCCTAGCAGTTACTTGAAGGACAGGGAGCACCAGCTCATCACAGGTGTCACTTTACCATTGAGACTCTGGGAACAGAGGGCTAGGAAGAATGACAGACACTACAGCAGGAAGCACACGCAGAGGACCCAATGGAGGCACAGACAATTAGCAGCCAGGGCAAGCCTTTGCAACAATCTCATACCTCTTTCCAGCCTTCAATGTGACAATGCAAAGCTACCAAAACAAAGGCACCTGCCAAGTGTCCCATGTGGTAACAGGCTGGCTTGGGCAAACTATGAGTTCCAGTGCCTTCCCTTCCTGGTACTCTGTGCTTGGTGGCCAGCAGCTAGCTATGGACACAGCACTCTGTCTGCTTCAGGGTTGACCATCAATGGCCACTACTGGAAAGTGTGAAGCTGAAGGTGCAATGCCAGTATGCAGGGATCGCGGTACTGGGCAAAGGGGAGAGATCAAGATTTTTGTAAATGAGTGAGTTGCTCCAGCTCTGACCCTCCATCTTTTTTTGTGTGTTTTTTGTTTTGGGGGGGTTGGCAATACTGGGGTTTGAACTCAGGACCTCACACTTGCTAGGCAGGTGCTTTACCACTTGAGCCACTCCACCAGCCCTTTTTAAAGATTAAGTTTTATTTTTTTGGTGGCACTGGGATTTGAACTCACGGCCTCACACTTACTAGACATGAACTCTTACCATTTCAGCTATCAGCTTTTTTTTTTTTTAATGGTGTCTTCTTCCTTTAAGCGATGACCCTCTTAAGAGTTTGTGATGGTCACCTTCTGAGAAGGGTGGATTTCTGCCTCTTTTTTGCCTTGTCCTTCCAACTAGTCTTTCATCCAGTTCACTTCCTTCTTTGCTTCTACCCCTAAGTAAAGCAATAGATCTTGGGAAAAAGAAAAAAGAAAAGCATAAAAGAAATCAGTTTGTTTTGCCAGTACTGAGGTTTGAACTCAGGGCCCCGGACTTGCTAGGCAGGTGCTCTACCACTTGAAACATACCTCCAGCCCTTTTTGTTATTTTGGAGCTAGAATCTCAATTTTTTGCCCAGGCTGGCCTGGACCATTACACTTTCTGTGGTCACTAGGATGACGGTACATACACCCAGCTTTTTTCCACTGATATTGGGTCTGCCAACTTTTTTGCCCAAGCTGACCTGGATGGAACTACAATCCTCCCCATGTCAGTCTCCCTCATAGCTTGGGATGATAGGTGTGTGCCACTGCACCCAGCTATTGGCTGAGATGGGGCCTCAATAACATTTTGCCCAGGCTAGCCTCAAACTGCAATTGCTCCTGATCTCAACCTACCAAGTAGCTAGGATTATAGGCATGAGCCACCAGTGCCAGGCTTAATTTTAGAGATGCATACCAAAATATTTATGGGTGAAGCAGTATGATAGCTTTAATTTGCTTCAAAATAGTTCAGGAATAAAATGAGTGGCCATGAGTTTATATGTTGAAAGAAACTATCCAGAATGTAACAAAAGGATGGATAATATGGATGTCAGAGGCATACAGAATAGATTGAGAAAATTTAGCACAGACTTAATTGGAGTCTCATGAGAGCACAATGATTAGAGGTAGGTCTTTCACAACAGCTCCTGCCCCCTCCAATGTCTAACCAGACAACAGAGACCAACGCTGAAACCCTGACATAGTACTCTCCCTTAAGAATAACCAGCATCACCATATTAAGTAGAATATATCAGGCCCCTTCCATCCTCACAGTAATGTCTACCCTCTTGCCAGGAGGCACAGCACCGATATCACTGAGCTACAAGATCAGCTGACACCAGGGCACTTTAGTGGAGGGAATGACCATCTTAACAGAGAAAATGGGCAGCAGGAAAGGTTTCTTTAATACAATTGAGTAAGAACCCAGGTAGTCCACCCGGGTGCTTATTAGTTCCCTATGCTGTTATAAACAATTATCACAAATTTAGTGCCTTCAAGCAACATGTATTTACCTTACATGTAGCCTGATACAGACTTCATGGGGTTAAATTAAGCTTACATTCCTTTCTAGAGGCTTTAGGGGAAAAGTCTATTTCCTACTCATTCCAGAGTTGGCAAACTCGGTCTCAAGCAATATAGGACTGGATTATCTATTTCCTTGCTGGCTATCAGCTGGGAGACACCCTTAGAAACTGTACTCTCTCAGGTCTGAGCACATAGTTCTGAATATCCCAGAACCAAGCCACTGAATCCTTCTGCTGTCCTTTCTCTCTGACCACAGCTGGGAAGGTTCCCTGCTTTTAAGGAGTCACGAGATTAGACTAGGCCAACCTGGACAATCTCCTATCTGAAGGCCCTTACCCTTGCCCACATCTGCAAAGTCCTTTGTGCTATTTAAAGTAACACATTCACAGGTCCCAGGAATTAGGAAATGGTTCTCTTTGGGATATGATTATTCTGACTACAGGTGCATCTTAATACTCCCTCCCATAACTGTAATTAAATGAATTCATGAAGCAACCCTGGTCTTAAAAAGATGTGATTGCCAAAGGCTCAAGACATCTCAAGGATCAGTTAGGTTTCACACCAACAGGCAACAAAGGCCTACCATCATAACCAAGGATAAAGAGAATTCAGAATGTCTGGCGGAGGAAGATGACCAGTTTTTTACTCCAAGTCAAACTCAACAATGGGGGTTGTAATTCGTCCCAAGTTTTTTTCTGAGGAAAGCCCATGAGGAATGGTGAACATGGAGAAATAGATTCGTCTTAGGGCTGTAGTGACTGTAACCAGCTGCAGTTAACTAAAAGCCTCCAGCTTCCTCACATTTGGATCTACCTTTATCACACTGAGGCCACACTTCCCTCAGACTAATACCAGTAGTCATTTCATCTAAGAAGCAACTTGTGCTTGGAGACTCCATCAGCAAGACCAAGACATTCTCAGTGATAGGATGCAATCGGGTTCTTCATACGCAGTGCTATTTCCGTGTCTAAGAGCTAGGACTTTGGAGAACCACAGATATAATCTGGCCTCCCCAAAATTCTCCTTTGCTGGTTTAGCAAATTAAAGTAACCAACGGGGTCACTTTACCCCGTTAAGGTGCTAAGAGTTCAAATTCTCTGGCCTCCTATCACCCAAAAAGGGCTCATGATCCTGTTATAGTTTGGATATAAAACAGCTTCAAAGGCTGTTAAAAGGCTTGGTTGCCAGCTGATAGGCTATTCAGAGGCAACTGGATCAGGAACCCTAATCAACTACCCTAATCAACCCACTGATGGATTCTTAATTTGATGGCATTACTAAGTATTACTTCTGGTAAAAACTAGATGGTGGGCCTAGTTGGAGGAAGTAAATCACTGGAATGTGCCTTTGAAGGATATATTTTGTCCTCAGTGCCTATAGCTGCTTCCCCTCGCCATCAGGTGAGCAGCTCTGCTCCACTATGTCCTCTCAGCCATGTGCTGTCTCATCACAGACCTGTAACAATGAAGCCAGTTTCACAAACTGAAATTGTGAGCTAGAATAAATCTTTCCTCCTTTTAAATTGTCTGTTGCCACAACAATGAAAAAGTGATTAACAGCATTAATTTGCCTGAGGTTATACATGTGCTAGATATCTGCAGATCACATTTTTAAAACAATGGGAACAGAAAATCTAATCCCTAATGTTGCTGCAGGAGCAATTATGTTCCTGTTCATAGCTGTGTAAGAAGTAACGTTTATCTTTGTGGACAAAATCGAAAAAGCAGTGAGAACCAACCTCAAGATTCAAGTTCTATCATCCTCAGTTCATCTGATGGGCCCTCTATGAGTTACTTTTGACCATTCTTTGGATGTAAGTATTTACATGGTATAACTGTGTAAATCCTATGCTACTCCCCCATTCAGTTCTTACAATCTTTTGGCTTATCATAATGCATTATATTCTTACACAGGTACTTGATTAACCTTATTGAACTTCTATTTTAAGCCGACTCAACAATCAGTATCAAAAAAATCTTGATAGACTGGGACGTAGCTCAGTTGGAGATTGCTGGTCTAGCATTCATGAGACCCTGGGTTATATCCCTAACACTGCAAAAAGTAATTGTGACAACTCATGGATCCCAGTACCCATCAGGTCCAATTTCTCTGATGCTTTGTATGTAATTCCTAACCCTGGAGAATTACGAGACAATCAGGCATTAATCTGTGAGAAATGGGAATAGGGAGTGGGGGTTGGGAAGCCAGAGTAGAGGGTGAAAAGGAACGTGTCTGGGAGGGTGTAGCTCAATTGTAGAGCACTTGCCTAGCATGTGCAAAGCCTTGAGTTCAAATCCAGCACAACGAAAAAGGAAGATATCAGTAATTGGTTGGCTTTAATAAGGAAGTCCTACCCTTGTTCATTTACTTCTCCCAGGTTTTTTACCTTATCCTCCAAAACACAGTACTGAATACCTAGCTCCTGGGATAGAAATATCCCAGCATATAAATTTGCCCTATTTTTTCCCCCATTAGAGACAGCTCCTTGAAATCCAGAAAATCAGACACAAAAGCAAACAAATCATGCACTCGATTCAGGCAAATGCTTTACATTTTCATAATATTTTCTTTAACATTTACTAGAAACTATATACAATAAATTTTTACTATATTTTACATAAGATAGCCACCACAGAAACTTACATAGTTAGAAGATGAATGGTTAAGCACAGCCCAATCCTGTGGGCTACTTCCTCATAAAGTTAAGAGTTCACTAGGGAAAGGGGTTCAGATTCCCAATTAAGTGGAGGTGAGGAAAGGCTAAAATGTAGGCCTTTAGATAGGGATAACCAGACACTGGGGCCACCAATATCTCAAGAGCATCATTCATTAACACAGTCCCTACCTAATCATTTATGTGGATTCCTACCCATGACTTAGGAAATCCTATTATAAGAATGCTTCTTTCCCACAGTTCCAAATATTCACCCAATCTCAGAGACAGACATTACTTCTTTATCTCTCTCTTCCTTGTGATGTACCCCACAACTTTTAGGCACTGGGTCCATTCCCCCAAAATCTGGTTTTATGTTTGGCTATAGGACTTTATAGCCAGATCAAAAACAATGTAGTCTGGGTTGTGCCTGTTTAGTGAGAGATGATCAGAGACACTTGTTTGAAGAATGGGAAATTCAAATCCACCAAAGTTGAATGGTCCCCAAACAAACTGTGTCAACTGACAGAAGTAGGTTCTGGTTTCCCATTTGCAGTAGCCAATCCACTTTGAGGCAAAGGTGTACAGGCTTTCTCAGAATTTCGAGATCCCTGGGATCTGTACCCATCTCCAGTCAGCTGCAACTGGCCCTGTTAAAGGAAATAAGGGCACTTTGGTTAGAAATTCATTCGTTGTGGTCTGAAGCATGAATCTGACTTATCAACACCCACTTATAGTAGCAACAGGATCAAGACAACAGAAATAAATAACTCTGGGAAGTTACTTTCCCAATACTCAGCTGTCCCTAACAGACAGCAGTTATTCCTGAGGCTCTCCCGAAAGGAGAGAGAACTGTGGGTTGTTTCTTCCAAGTGAAACAGCCATTCTCCACTGAGGTTCCAGAACAGCTAACACAGCATAAGAAGACAATTCTTTAGGCCTCTGCTTGAAACCAACAGCTTAGTATAACTGCTGGCCTTCAGTCAGGGCCATAAGGTATCCTACTCTCAGAGAAAGAAGCCAAATCACATTACTGGTTCTTACTCTACAAGAACAATTTCAGTGATGAACTCTCCCTTAAAAAATATAATTAATGGATTCCCTGTCCCAACCTTTCCTTTAAATAAATTTATGTCCTACTCAAATGAGGATTAGGAGCCACTAGGGGTTCTAAAGCCCATCTGGAGAACTGGAACAAGAAGGGCATTCAAGAGCACAAAAGGGCCCCCACACACACACACCTTTTTTTTTTTTTGGCAGTGCTGGGGATCGATCCCAGGGTCTCACATACTCTATTTACTCTCTACCACTGAGCTATATCTCCAGTTCAAAAAGAGCATTTTTTTTTTAAAAAAGTACTTTCCTTACATGGTATTCACTAAGCAAAAGCAAACTCTAATTAGGACATCTTTATATTCTACTTTAATGACATCCCCAACTTCCTGAAGTACATGCTAGCCAGGAGGAAACCCTGTGCCTAGCCAGGTCACTATATGAGGGAAGCCTATCTGGGTTCTGCACTTGCCAAAATATCCACTGGGCCTTCAGCAATTTCTTTCATTGAATGTTCTTCAAGAGTTACAGAAGGATCAAAAAGCAAGGGTGATGGAGGGCACTGCATACCATCACCCACAACATCCAAGTCCTAGGAAAGAAAAGAGAAAAGCCTATCATCAGCAATACTAAGAAACTAATAGGCTCACGTTAACATATTCTTCAGCAAATCCTCCCTCACCCATCGCCTACCAGAATGTCCAACAAATGAGATCCAAAAGCACTGAACTTTTCCTTGCGTCTAATGATAAAGCACAGATCAATAATGGCAAATTTTCAGGAAAACTCATAGAAGGTAGAATAGTGGTCACCAGGGGTCAAGGGAAAGAAGAAGAGAGAGTTTATGTTTGGGAGTTCTCAAAGTTCTCAAAGAGCAGTAATGGTTGCATAATACGATGCTCACAGCACATTTAATGTTCTTAATACCACCGCACTGTAAATTTAAAGCTGGTTAAAACACTAAGCTTGTTAAATATATTTTACCACAATAAACAGTATTTAAAAAAAAAAAAATCTATTCCCTCTGAGACTAACTATAGTCAACATCTTAAGTTCACCAGTGATGACTATAAGGAAAATCAGCATAAATATAAATTAAAATGAAATACTGCTCAAAAACATGGGCAATGTGAGAGTGATCAATGTCCAAAGAGCCACAAAGCAAGCAAGTAAGAAGGAAGGGGTAAGGGGGAGGGAGGACAGAAAGCTCAAAAGTTCCTTGGACTTGGAAGGCAGAGAGCAGGAGGACTGCAGTTCAAAGCCAAACCAAGGCAACAGTTCACCAGACCCTATCTCGAAAACACCCAACACAAAAACCAGGGCTGGCAGAGTGGTTCAAGTGGTACTACATGCCTAGCAAGGATGAGGCCCTGAGTTCAAACCCCAGTATCAGCCCACACACACACCAAAAGAAAAAGTTCCTTGGAATGGCTAGGATATATTTTGGCTAAAAGTCCCTATCCCCGAGAGTTAAGTCTTTGATTCTTAACAATTCAATTGTTCTAGTAAAAGGAGGGGGAAGGAGGAAAGAGAAAGGCACAGAGACATACATGACATACATTATATTCTAGACTATGTTTCTTCTAAATGAACTGGTCATTTCCACTGAGATACTGAACAGCCAAGCAACCAAAGGAAGATATTTCTTGGCTCCTGTTTAAAACCAAGAGCTACAGCAAACGTCAATCTTAATTTAGGGCCTAAGGCATTGCAAAGGCTCAAATACTTTTGACAACCTAACTAAGTTCCAAGCCACTGCTAGGAGTCTAGTGCTAAACACTCCTTCCTAAAACTTAAAGGGGTTTATACTCCCTATATCCAATTAGAAGCTCTAGGCTGCTAATAATCTAGCTTCATGAGACGTTTACTTCATGCTTTTAAATAGCAGTCCCTTATTAGAAAAAAGGAGATCAGGGAGGGTAATGCGGAGAGACATTACTGAAGTATGTTATATGTATGTATGAAAATGTCACATACAATGAAACCCATTATTTTATACAATTAATGTGCACTAATAAAACAAAAATCACATCTACATAATGGGACAAAAAGAATAAAAAAATCTACTATACTTAAGCAGAAACAGAGAAAAGGACATAGTCATATTCCCAAACATCCATTTCAGATGTACTGGAAAACTTCTGCACTATCCACAGAAACCAGTATTCTCACATCATTAAAACCATGAATTGTTTTCTGCAATTCTTTTATTCCACACAATTATTATATAAGCAATTAGTTTGGAATTGCTCCTGATTCTCCCTCCACCCACAGGTAAACCACAGAAACATCTATTCATGAGATCAATCCCCTCTGAGAGAATGTCAAAGACCAGTTAAAAAATTCCTATCCACTGGAAAAATGAGACAACACCTAAATCAAGTGGTTAGGAAAAGCAAAGGAACATAAGACAGGAGCCCAGCTCTAGACATTGAACCATAAAACTGACAAAGGAATTCTCAACACCCAGCTTCTCTTTGTTGAGAGGAGAATCTGGATTTTACACACAGCACCCTTAACTCTAAGGTTCCCCATCATTTGGTTTTTGGCTCACCAAGTCTGGAAGCAAGAAGGGGATGAGACACTCTTGAGTGTCTCTAGATCATGGAAAAAAAGCAACAGAGTTATATAGCATACAAGCATTTCGAAGGGCTTCATGGGGGGAGCAATGTGAGAGTGGGATTTAAAATGCATCCCTTTCTCCCTTACATCAAGCACCCTAACCTTACAGCTAGTTTAGGAACTGCATCTTAAACTGCCCATCTGCGGGAAGAGAAGGGACTACATATATGCTCTCTAGGCCATGGAAAAAAGTGGCAGTTTTATAAAGGAATATAAGTGCTTCTAGTAATTTCATCTCCTGGGAAGCAGTGAAGAGACAGAGTTTAAAACATGCTGTTTCTCCTAGGAAGGGCTTTATGCCACGCATAAAATGCCACAATTTTAACAACTACCTCCCCCAAAGACTCTTAGCTCTATAAACAGAAGAAATTGGGCATATGCCAGTCTCCCTATGTCAGTGACCAAAGGTGGTTTTATTTATCTATCTATCTATCTATTTTATCTATTTTGACAGTACTGGGGTTTAAACTCAGGGCCTCATGCTTACTAAGGCAGGTGCATTAATATGAATAGATTATCAATTACAAATAGCTGTTTTTACTTTTTAATACATAACAAAGGCTCAAAGCTCACTGGATGATACTTAGTAGGAAAAACAAAGATTCTTGTTTGGAAACATTCTCAATTGAACTGTGAAAAAAATAACTGATTTCTTTCATGTGATAAGAAATAGATCAGGACTGGGGCTGTGGTTCAAATGGTAGAGCACCTGTCTATCGTGGCCCTGAGTTCAAACCCCAATACTGAAAAACATAATTATAATAGTTTTGCCTTAATTTTGCAGATTTAAGTTTTCTTAAGCTTTAGGTCACCTTTGTTTCTCCACTTGTATGAAAGAGCGATACCTTTTCCAATGAATGCTTTTAAGTCACCTGCTGATTCTATGTCCTTTTAAGCACAACTTAATGACACAGACCACTCACCTATGCCTGGGCATAATGTCCTATTTAGTAAAACCTTAAGCACTATTTTCATGAAACAGTAAAAAAATAAACTGAATTCTCAAAAATAAGGTTACTTCTCATATGTTCTTTAAAAAGTTCATGCCACAAGTTAAGTCTTAACAGATTCAATGATTTATTTTTAAATATTTTGGGGGGGTTTGTTCTTACTTTGTGTTTGGGTCTTTTGAGGTTTTGTTTGTTTTGAGATATGGTCTCACTCTGTAGCCCAGGTTGGTCTGGAACTTCAGATCCACTTGCCTAAGCCTAGGTATGTGCTAGGACTGGGGTTAGAGCTCAGGGCCTCATCATTACTAGGCAGGTGCTCTACCACTTGAGCCACTCCCCTAGTTCTTTTTGCTTTTAGTTATTTTTTAAATAGGGTCACACATTTTTGTCTGGGCCAGCCTGGACCATGATCTTCCTATTGACATCTCCCTCATGGCTGAGATAATAGGCCTATTGATTAAGATGGTGTCTCACTAACTTTTTGCCCAGGCTGGCCTCAAGCTGCAATCCTCCTGATATCTGACTCCCAAAGCAGCTGTAATTAGACATGAGCCACCATTCATGGCCTTTTAAATATTTTTTTAAGTTAAGATTCCTTAAGTGTCAGAAAACAGCTTATCATAACATCTCACCATCTCTATTATTTTGTTTAAACTTTCTCTAAAGAACAAGTTATAATGTAACCACTGAACATACTGTATCAGATATATGGGGCAGTACTAGGGTTTGAACTCAGTTGCTTCCTAGGCAGGCATTCTACTACTTGAGCAGCCACCCTTTTTTGTGTTCAGTATTTTCAAGATACAATCTTACGAACTATTTGCCTCGGCTGGACCGAGATCATCTTGATCTCTGTCTCCTGAGTAACTAGGATTACAGGCATGAGCCCCCAGCACTCGGCTCTGTAGCTTTTCTATTTTCTTAAATCTAGAATCTCAGAAGTTTGAGAAAGAAAACACCATTTTAAAATAGTAAGGCAAAAGTTTAAAACTTCTGTATGTAACAGGTGGTCAAAAGCAAGTGAGAGGCAGGCTCCAGTGACTCATGCCTTTAATCATAGCTACTCATGAGACGGAGATCAGAAGAATCATGATTTGAAGCCAGCCTGGGCAAATAGTTTGCAAGACCCTACTCACCTATCTCGAAAAAAAGCCCATCACAAAAAAGGGCTGGTGGAGTGGCTGAAGGTGTAAGGCCCTGAGTTCAAACCCTAGTACCACAAAAAAAAAAGCAAGTAAGAAGGGATGTAAGACAGTTCACTTGCCAGCATGTGCAAGGCAGATGAAAGGAGAAAAGCAGAACAAGTCAAAACAGAAATGACTCTAGAAATTTGTCAGATATAAATTAATAATCTAGCATGTAAATATATATAAACTACAAAATACGTGCCAGTTTCTATCCAAGTACATGAGAGAATTTGATTATAGTGGTTTTTTATTAGGTAATGTGAACCTTAAGGCTGCTCATAAGTTTTTAAAAAGTAGCAACTCTTGGGTTTTCTTCAAATATAAAATGCAATGTATGGGGTGAGGATGTGGCTCAAGTGGTAGAACAAGCACAAGGCCCTGAGTCCAAATCCCAGTTCTTTCCAAAGGAAAAAAAATAAATAATAATAAATCTGCCCTTCTGCTGGGTGCTGGTGGCTCACACCTGTAATACTACTTACTTTCAAGGCTGAGATCAAGAAGACTGAGGTTTGAGGCAAGCCCAGGCAAATACTTCCATCTCCAAAACAACCAGAGCAAAACAAGACTAGAGGTGGGGTTCAAGCAGCAGACCCATTTCACAAGCTTGAAACCCTAGTCCCACAAAAAAAAAAAAAAAAAAAAAAAAAAAAAAAAAGAAATCTATCCTAATCTGGGGTTATCTATTCATTTACTCTCTTCAACATAACATCACTGGAAGCTTAGGAAGCAGGAGTATAATTCCTAGGGTCCTTAGAGTCCCTTTCTAGTTCTCATATTCTGTGAATCTATGGAGAACTGAATATGTCCACCCAAGAACTTGTACATAAACATTCATTAACAGCAAATTTCTTAAACACCGAAAAGTGGTAACAGCTCAAATAGCCATCAACTGATGGAATTTAAAAAACATGGAATACCAATACAACGGATTAAGACAAAAAAAAAAAAAAAAAGAATGAATTCAATATAGTGCTTGAACCTGAATTCTTACCCAAAGCAACAAGGCAAGAGAAAGAAATAAAGGAATACAAACAGAAAAAAAGGAATGACACCTGCCTAGCAAGCACAAAGCTCTAAGTTCAAATCCCAGTACCAACAACAGGAAAAAAAAAAGTAATGAATATTAATACAAAAGCTGCAACATGGACAACCTTAAAAACATTATGCTACCTGAAAAAGGCCAAACATGAAACTCTTATATTCATGTGAATATAAGAGTTTTAGCAAATTTTAGCAAATCAGATGCTTATTAGTTGAGCTCTCACTGAAACAATAAGCAAAAATATGAACTTGGACCTATACCTTACACTATATAAAAATATTCTAAAAGGATCATAGACCTAAATACAAATCTGAAACTATTAAATTGAGCAGGTAACCTAGAAAAACATCTGTGATCTTAAGGCAAAAATCTGACAACAAAAATGTGATTCTTAAAAGGAAAAATTGAGACAGATATAGTGGCTCACACCTGTAATCCCAGGTGTTTAGGAGGCAGAGATTGGCAGGATTCCATTTCACGGCTAGCCTGGGTAAAGTTAGTGAAGTCCCATCTCAATCAATAAACTGGGTGTGCTGGTACAAGTTTGTCACCCCAAATATGTGGAAGGCTTTAACTAAGAAAGATCATGGTCCAGGTTAGCTTGGGCAAAATATGCAAGACCTTACCTGAAAAATAACCAAATCAAAAAGAGGGGCATGGCTCAAGTGGTAGAGCACCTGCCTACAAGCACAAGGTCCTCAGTTCAAAATACTACAGAACCACAAAAAAAAAAAAAAAAAAAAGGAAAAATTGATAAAATTCTGACTTCCTAAAAATTGAAAACTTCTGTCAAAGTAAAAAGAAGCAACAGGCTAAGAGAAAACAGTTGTAAAAACACGTATCTAGTCAAAGATGGTATCTAGAGTCAGCCACCAGTGGCTCATGACTGTAATCTTAGCTACCTGGAAGGATCTCAATTTGAGGCCAGCAAATTATAAAGCAAACAGTCCAAAAGACTCCCTCTCCAAAAATAACCAGCGTAAAATGGACCAACAGTTTGGCTCAAGCGGTAGAGTGCCTGTTTTTTAACTGCAAAAGCCCTGAATTAAAACCCCAGTCCCACCAAAAAATGGACAACCCAATAAAAAATGGGAATGATGAAAACAGCAAATTAAAAACAAAACACCAAAACAGCGAATTTATTAATAAAAAGTATATCCACGGTTGACAGGAACTTGAGGAGAGGCAAATGAGGAGTGGTTGTTAATTGGTATTTGAGTTTCTTTTTGGAGATGATGAAAACATTCTGAAAACAGCAGTGAAGGTTGCTTAAGTGTGAATATACTAAAAAAAAAAAAAAAAAATCACTGAATCACATACTTCCAAATGGTGAAGTTAACAGTGTGTGAATGATATCCCTCGCAAAAAAATATGTAAAGCAGCCAGCATGGTGGTAACACCACGCACTCAAGAAGCCAAGGCAAGGAGGATACTGAGTTTCAGGTTAGTCTGAGCTACACAGTGAAAAACAGTCTAAAAACAAAAAAAGAAGGAAAAAAAGCCTGGAAAAAAATTAAGATATGGCAGAAAGTCTCTAAAGAAATATGTTAAACATACAAATAAAAGCATGTTATCACTTCAAAAGCCATTATCACTAACTATTCTCACCATTAATAAACAGGGCCTTGCCTCAAGGGCCAATCAGAGCAGAGCTTCTCTAACTTACATCACTGAACTCCAGTGGTAAACTCTCAGTGGGCTGAAGCTCAGCAGCACTCAAGTACAGATCCATGGGGCCGGCTTCCAGATCGTGTGGCACAGACAGTACCTGCTCGGGCTTATACATCTGAGGAGGCAACTGGAAATGCAGTGGACAGCAGGGATCCTCAGAGAGGCTTACAGGAACTGGTTTGTTGCAGGGTACCTCTTCAGATCCCTGGCAGCATTTGAAGAGAACTTGATTCGTGTCCTGACAAATATCTGTAGAAAAACTGTCAAGGGAAATAAAACAGGATCTATTGGAGGAACAAAATACAGAGTTGTCTCCATATAAAATCCAAAGTATGGACTACACAGATAATTACAACTATATTTGATACAGAAGACCAAATATAGTTAATAATTTTTAAAGTAAGTATCATTCCTTAGCATCTAATTCTAGCTCTACTGGTAATGTAGAATTAGTCCTCAACCTCCTTTTCAGAATCCTTGTTACTGAAACTACAAGTGTTAGTCCTCTTTTCCCTATGACAGTGCAAAGCAAGTAGCAATTAACACTCTTAAGAACATATACCTACCCAGAAGAACCACTGTAACAAATATAAATAGCCTGCAGAAGCCCCTACCAACTCTCTTCCAATAGTCAAGAGATACAATATGGTTTTCTGCTGTTAAGCAGACTAGATTTGTAAAAACTTCTTGTACTTGGTTTCCAATAACATGATAAATTCCTTTAAAGGAGAACAATGTTGAGATAAAAAGAAACTACTAGATATCATCCTGACAGAAAAAATTTCCATGCCATTTTTGTTTGTTTTAGGAGGGTTCGAGTACAGGGGAGACTGGTTATGATCCTAAAAAAAGAAAAAAAAATAGTTTTGCTTATGAGCACCCATAAAGAAGTACTCTAGGAATATTCCAAGAGCTCTATATTAACTTCTTTTACAGGTAGAAGCAGAAAAGGGCTATTATTTCCAAGATAGCAAAGTTCTGTAGGATGAATCAAAACTGAAATCATAATTAAGCAAAATAAATTTCAGGTTACTCTACAAAATATATTTTATTCAAGTGTTACCATTTCTTGAAATCTTAACATGATTATTTTCCTTAGCTTAATTTAAAAAAAAGTTATTATAAATTTGGGCCTATTTTTAACCAGAAAACACAATTTTCTTTAAACTGATTATGGAATTGTAGGTAATTTTCACATCAAAATTTTTAAGGCTAGTTTTTAGAAATTAAACAGTCTAATATAGCACATATGAGTATAATAAAAAAAGAAACAATCTAATGTAGCCAGGTGCTGGTGGCTCACACCTGTAATCCTAGCTACTCAGGAGGCAGAGATCAGAAGGATCATGCTTCACAGCCAGCCCCAGGCAAATATTTCAAGACCCTATCTTAAAGAAACCCATTACAAAAAAAAAGGGCTGAGGGAGTGACTCAAGCAGTGTCTGCCTAGTAAGCACGAGGCCCTGAGTTCAAACCCCAATGCTGCCATTAAAAAAAAAAATCTAATGTACACTGTAACTTAAGAAGGATAAACTTTTTGAATAAAGCTATTTTTTTTCCAGCCATACTTCGAAATTGCTTCATTCTAAAGCAAGGTGTCACAACTGAGGCACTACTGACATTGTGGGCCACGTCATTTTTTGTTGTATGTAGGACATTTAGCAGCATCCCTGACCTCTTATCCTCTGGCTGTCAGTAGCACCCTACCTGCCACTCCCAAGTTTTCACAACCAGAAACTTCTCCTGACGTTGCCAAATGGAGGACAAAAATGGCTCCCAGATAAGAACCACTAGACTATACATAGAAAACATTCACTGGATATCAAAGTAAAATATTTACTGAATGAGTAATAGGAATTAAATGGGAATAATCAAATTTGCACTTCCTTATGCTTTAAGAAAATCTAAGCAATACCTAATATGCTTAAGCAGTCCAATCTTTAAATCAATATTTAAAACCCATTAAGTTAAATGTTTCAGCCAAAACATTTTTCATTGAATTCAAAGACTTTCACAAAGGTAAAGGTCTCTTACTTATTTAATACCATAACAGCCTAGAAAACCTCTGCCTGCATCTTCCTCCACCCCCTTTCCTTTCAGATAGGGACAACAGAGATAAAAAGGAGGGAATGATTGACCTACAACTAGAGTCTGGGACCTTCACTTTCAGTCCAGTGCTGTCTCAATTAGACCAGAGTAAAGAGTTAACAGGTAGGTCATCAAGGCACTTGCATCTCTCTCTTAAAGAAGGGTAAGTGACTTAGACAACTATGGAGTGAAAAGGAAAAACAGCTTAAAGCGAAAAAAACACTTCCCTTTCCCTTTAATGCACTTCATCTTCAAATGTGCTTTTTATGATACTTACATTCTAAAGAGCTGACTACAGCATATTAAGAAATGTCTAAAATAGCCCTTCCTATCTGTAAACTGGGTTTTGTTTCATATATTAAATTCATGTTCACCTTAAAAAAATATCCCAAAAGTATAAAGAAACAGTGAAAAAGAGGCAGTCATACTCTCACCATGCTAATGGCTGAAAACTATTCCGTAGTTGATATTGGCCACAATTTACTTCCTGTTTACCATCCGAACCATTTTAAGGCTGTCTTCAGTTAGAATGTTTTTTGTAAAAATTCTGGTCTTATTCAATAATCTTCTTAAATTCCCAGAGGTAAAATTACCTTATCAAAGAATATAAATGTTATCAAATTGCTTTGCAAAAAATATCAACTTACATTCTAATTTTTAGAAGCCCATTTTATGGAGTTCCATATCCTATTTTGTCACTATCATTTTCCTCATTCATAAATTTTGCTAAATGTTTAATGGCTGAAAATATATAAATGTTATCAAATTGCTTTGCAAAAAATATCAACTTACATTCTAATTTTTAGAAGCCCATTTTACCACCTATTTTAAATTTGCTAATAAAAAAAACAATTCTTAGAATGAAATGTTATCATTCGCTGGTAAATGGATGGAATTGGAGAACATCATTCTGAGTGAGGTTAGCCTGGCCCAAAAGACCAAAAATCAGATTTCTCCCTCATATGCGGACATTAGATCAAGGGCAAACACAACAAGGGGATTGGACTTTGAGCACAAGATAAAAGTGAGAGCACACAAGGGAGATATGAGGATAGGTAAGACACCTAAAAAATTAGATAGCATTTGTTGCCCTCAATGCAGAGAAACTAAAGCAGATACCTTAAAAGCAACGGAGGCCAATAGAAGAAGGGGACCAGGAACTAGAGAAAAGGTTAGATCAAGAAGAATTAACCTAGAAGGTCACACACATGCACAGGAAATTAATGAGAGTCAACTCCTGTATAGCTATCCTTATCTCAACTAGCAAAAACCCTTGTTCCTTCCTATTATTGCTTACACTCTCTCTTCAACAAAATTAGAGATAAGGGCAAAATAGTTTCTGCTGGGTATTGAGGGGGTGGGGGGGAGAGGGAAGGGGTGGGGTGGGTGGTAAGGGAAGGGGTGGGGGGAGGGGGGAGAAATGACCCAAGCATTGTATGCACATATGAATAAAAAAAAATTCTTAGTTTTAAAAATTTATGCACAAATTATCAAAATTGGAGATTTTCAATTTTCCTTGTTTTTATTTCTCAATTTTATTTAAAGTACAGTAAATATTTTTCAAATATTGGCCACTTCCATTTCCTTTTAAATCTGCCCACAGATAACCTTTGCCCCAAATTTATTTTAAGCTTTCATTTTTCATTTCTTATTATTTTCCACAAGATTCTTATCTACTAAGAACAGTAATCCCTTATCAGACATTTATTGCAATAATTGGTAAAATATTTAATAAACTGACTAGAAAAAAAAACAGCATTCCTGTCAAAGACCAAGAGAAGGTTCTCCCTTACCTCTATTAATTTTTTTTTTCCTCACTATGTTGTCCAGACTGGCATCAAACTCCTGAGCTCAAGTGATCCTCCTGCCTCACCTTCCCAAAGTGGTTGGAGCTACAAGTGCATGCCACTGCAGCCAGCTAAGAAAATGCACTTAATTTCCACAAGAAATGAAACCCAGGAAAATCTACACCTTTCATACAAAGATATTTAACAAGTGCTCCTATTGCTTGAGTTTTTCTTAATGTTATAACAAAGATGCACTCTCAAAATTCAATGAACACAGAAAGTTCTGTAGCCCAATAGGAAATGTAATCCTATAGCAGAATCAAGACATTATAATGGTTCAAAGGCAAATTAATTGAAAGAAGGGAGGGGGATCCTATTTTGTGCAAACAGTAAGTTTCTTATTTAAATGAAGTTTAAAATATACAAGTTAGAACCGGAAGCGGATGCTGAGTAGTAATCGTAACTACTTGGGAGGCTGAGATGGGGAGGATCACAATTCAAGACCAGTCCAGGAAAACAGATCCCATCTCCAAAAATAACCAGAGCAAAATCGACTGAAGGTGCAGCCCAAGCAGTAGAGTGCCTGCTTTGCAAGCGTAAAGCCCTGAGTTTAAACCCTAGTCCCACCAAAAAAAAAAAAAAGGCGAAAAACTGTGTATACGCACACATCCAAGTTAGGGCACTAACCATATAAAAGAATAATACTAGAAAGAAGCTGACAGTAGTCATCCTTTTGAGTGGAAACTTATAAATTTTTTTTTTTAAGTTTTGGCAAAGATTTATTTTAGTATAATGGGGGGGAAGGGCACTGAGAGAAAAAGAGAAACATTTCCTGTTCCTCACACAGGAAATGGTAACAAAAATATCCTGTACATTTTTTTGGTAGTAAGTTTAAATAGCACTGTAATTCTAATAAACAAGTTAAACCAAGGATCTAGAGATAAGCATCATATGGTATTTTGGAATCCCAATATTCAAGACTAAAAATAAGCATTATACCTGCTAACTCAAATGTTTCTTTCCTCTTTTTTGTCTTGTTTTATTTTGTTTTCTTGAAATAGGGTCTCACATGTAACCTGGGCTAGCCCCAAACCACTATCCTCCTACCTCAGCCTCCCGAGTGCTGGGATTATAGGCATAAAAAACCGTACCTAGCCACATGTTTCTTTCCAATGAATTGACACAGTTCCAAAGTTCTGAAATGGCCAACAGATCATAGAAAGACATTTCTTTAGGCTCCTGCTTGAAACCAACAGCTTCAGCAAACTACTGGCCTTGATTCAGGGCCAAAGGAAGGAAACAAAGACCTTCAATTAAGCAAACTAGCAAAGATTCCCACTAGCCCTTGTCTACAGAGCAAATCAAAGCTAAAAAGGCAATTTAAAAAGATACGGGTAAGGCAGTGTCTGGTCATTGGAAGAGACTGATTGGAACAACGAACATCATCCACAAAGGCCAAGCACCTCTGACTGGAACGTGTGGTATGGGCCTAAAATGGAGAAAACAGATAAAACAGACAAATGATCCCACAAAAGAACATATATCCAATTATGACAAGACTACTTCACTACACAAAAAAAGTGTATCTGTAAAGGATAGAAAATCCAACATTTAACAAAGTGATTCACCAATACTATGCAAAAAATAAAAATTAAAACCTCATGTATAAAGAATGAGCTAATCTTAATCCCAAATACACCTCTCCATATACAGTAGTCTGCCCCTTATCAAAGGTTTCAGTCACATGTAGCCAACCTAGGTCTAAAAACATTAAAACTACAGGAATAAGTAATTCCTAAATTTTAAATAATTCTTACTTTGTATTGTTATAATTGACCTATTTTATTACTATTATTTCTGATCTTTTACTACACCCCATTTATAGACTTTACCATCAATATACATGTATAAGAATAAGTGTATATATATGGTTTGATGATATCTGCAGTTTCGGGTCTCCACCAGCAGTCTCAAAATACATCCTTCACACATAGGAAGAAACTACTACATCTGCTAATAGTTTCCAAGCTAGTATGTTTCTTCTTTTTTTTAGTAGTGCTACAATCAAACCCAGGATCACACACATGCTAGGCAAGTACTCTACCACTGAGCTACATCCCCACCCCAACTAGTTTGTTTTTAGCAACAAAACCCATTTTTAAATTATAACCTGTGACAGTTAATCTTGACTGTCATCTTGACTGGATTGAGAAGCACCTATAAAATTAGCGAAGCACATCTCTGGGTACGTATGTGAGGGCCATTTCCAGGAAGCATTAACTAAGGTAAAAACCCAACCTGAATGTGGGCAGCACCATCCTACAGGCTAGGGCCTAGTAGAATAAAAGGGGAAAAAAGGAGAAAAACAGATCTCCTGGCTTCCTGACCACCATCACACAAACCTTCCGATCTGCCATGCCCTCCCACTGATGGTGGACTGAAACCTAAGAAACTGAGCCAAAATAAGTGCTTCCTCCCTTAAACTGTTTATGCCAGGTATTTTATCATAGTGTCACAAAAGTAAGATAATGATATATGGAGCCTTAACAAATGAAAGACAAAGAGAATGATCACGTAACTCTTCCTTCTATCAACCTTACTCCTGACATTCAGTTGCTCCTACTCTAGCTATCTTTCTACTTAGTTACGTATTTTATTTAGAGACAAGGTCTCACTATGGAACTTGGGCTGGGCTCAAACTCATGATCTTTTTGCCTCAGCCTCCCAAGTTCTGGGATTGTAGACCTTCAACACCACACCCTGCTCTTACCACTTTTTCTTGTCAGTACTGGGGAATGAACTCAGGGCTTCATGCATGCTAGGCAAGTGCTTTTACCACTTGAGCCATGCCCCCAGTCCTTTCGTTTTTGAGATAGGGTCTCGCTAACTTTGCCCAAACTGACCTCAAACTCACAATCCTCCTGCTTTCACCTCCCATGTAGCATGTGCTACTACTCCTAGTCTATCTCAGAATCCATCTGTCTATCTATCTATTATCTAGCTATTAGCAATAATACGGTTTGAGCTCAGTCTCACGCTTGCTAGGCAGCCCCAGCCTTTCTTGCTTTATTTATTTTTCGGATACAGCCTCACTTTTTATGTTGGCACAGGCCTAGAGCCATAATCCTCCTATCTATGCCTCAAGCATCGCTGGGATTACAGATGTGCCCCCACCATGCCAAATTTACTGATTGAGATGAAGTCTCACAATCTTTTTTGCCCAGGCTTACCTCAAACTGCAATCCTCTCAATCTTCCCTGCTTGAGTAGCTAGGTCTTCCCACTTTTAAAAACAAGACACCTAAGTAACTTAAGCTTACCTTGTACCTATTTCTGAATTGAATATCTGAATAAAGTAATTTAGAAGGCTATCCCAATTTGAAACCCCTCAGTTTGGATACTGAGGCCCAGAAGTTAAGCTTCTGTGCAGGCGTAAGTCTATTCAATAGGGGACAGAGTCTAGAACCCATGTCTCCTGACCTCCAGGTTAAGTGCCTTCACTACAAGACTACTCAGTCAAGTCAGAGCCAGAATTAGAAATGGTGTTTTGACAATTACTCTCTCTGTAAACAGAGTGAATGTATACAACCTAGAAGTATATAAACAAATTACCTGTTGGGCGGCACCATCTGTAGCCAGCATTCTGCGTTCCTTCAATTGTCTGTGTAGTAAGGCCTCCACTCCATAGCGCTGTCTGTATCGCCGGAGACATTTTAATCGCTTTAAGTTCTCTCGTTCTTTGGCCAAAAGACCTTCTGGGCCAGTCAGGAGACTACTACCTACAGTCACAAGAATCAAGATGTAATGTGACAAGCAACCTATCAAGGATACTTTTCCAAATTAACTACAGGTACTCTGTGGCCACAAGACAGGCAGCTTCAGCTACATAAAACTTGCCTAGAGCTTCATGTTCCACTTTTCGATTATGTAAGTACCGGCGTTTCTTCTCCTTAAGCAAATGCTGAAGTCGTTTAAACTGATCAATATATAAAGACTGCAAACGAATTAGCTTCTCACGCATAATCAGGGCCACTTCTTCAGCTGTATAGACACCAGCATGTCTGGAATAAAAGAGAATTCAGCAAAGCATAAAAAAACAATAATAAACACTTAAGCTTAAAAGTAAATAGAGACTACACTGAATTTGTTATATAACAGGTAGTCAATGCTAACACAATCACCTTATTAAACAGGAGTATTTTCACAAGGCATTTTATCACAGCTTAGTAGGAGAGTGCTTGTTTAGAATATGTGAGGCCTTGGGTTCTATCTTCACCACAGCAAAAAAACAAGAAAAAAATCCCCAAAAGGGCTGGAGATGTAACTCAGTGTTAGAGCACTTGCCTCACAGGCTCAAGGCTCTGGATTACATTCCCAATATCAGAAAAAAAATTAAAATAAAACTACCTCCACTGGTCACAATATTCATTTCCTAAAAAATATTCTCAAACTTCAGTACCCTAGGTTAACCCTTAATTACCAAAGATCTAGAAAGCACCCATATTGACTAGTAAGCTTTGCTGCCAATTACAAATTACTATTACTTGAAAAGGATATGCTAGTGACTTACATGTTGAAGATTATTTCTTGCCTCTAATTTAAGTAGTCAAAATTGAGATTAAATTTGATTTGAATTCAAAAAAATTTTAGGTTCAATGTGCCTGTCCGATCATTATATGAAAAGAAAGAACAATCTAGTTATATACCTTAATTTGACATTTTCATATTTTCACTGAGTAAGCATATTTTTATTTAAGAATAAACACAAATTACATACCCAAATATTAAATCCAAAAATTATGCTTTTAAAAATTAGCTGCCAGAGCCAGTCATGGTAATACATGCCTGTAATTCCAGCACTCAGAAGGCTGAGGCAGGAGGATTGCAAGTTTGAGGATACCCTGGGACACACAGCCAAGACTCTGTCTCAAAAAAATAATAATGAAGGGAAGGGGGGGGATAGAGGAGAATGATGGAGGGGGTGAGTTCAACTATGATACATTATAAGAACTTTTGTAAATGTCACAATGTACTCCCAGTACAACAATAATAAAAAAAAAACTTAGAAAAAACCAATAATGATACATTATGTCTAAATTAGGTAACTAAGTTATGGCTTCAGGAAAATGGACTACGTCTACATTAACCTAAAATACTGAGTCCTTAACCCAACTACATGAAGATTACTCATTAGAAATGTATGAAATTATTCTACTTGAGAATGTAACTTTAACATGACTTCTTTATAAACATCAGAACCCAGAATAAAGAAGAAAATGCCACTTCAAGAATGAAAACCCACTGGGCACTGATGGCTCATGCCTGTGATCCTAGCTACTCAGGAAGAGGTCAGAAGGATCACAGTTTGAGGACAGCCTGCGCCAAATAGTTCACAAGAACCTACCTTGAAAATACCCAACACAAAAAAAGGGCTAGCAGAGTGGCTCAAGTGATTACAGGCCTGCCTAGCAAGTATGAGGCCTTAAATTCAAGCCCCAGTACTGAAAAAAAAAAAAAAAAAAGAATGAAAGCCCAACAGTCAACTCTAGAAATTCATTGCCCCTCCCACTATCTACAGTACTTCTGCCTGAACTGTCAGTAGGAAGCACTGAGACAGAAGTCAGAAAGCAGGGAAGAAAAAAACAAATCCTAAACCCAAACCATGGAATACCAATGTTTTGACGTTTCTATACCTACTAAGATGATCATGAGTTAAGAAAAGAATAGAACCTTAATAACACACAATTAGGATGATTACTCACTCACAGGTTTCTAAATCAGTTTCCCCTTGTTAGTAAGAAACCAAAACAAACTGAACATCTTTCTGTTTTCCTTTTAAAAAATCTGTAAATACGGAATTTTGCAATAAGTACTTAAGTACAATCACCTCATTATTCCAGAGATTTAGGACAAGAACCTATTCACATCCATTTTCTCTTCCCTAAATGGTCTTCGCATTTCTCTATCCACCTCCCACTCCCATGTCCAAGAAATCTACTTTCTCCCCTATACTTTCTCATATGTAGGATTTAGTGGTTAGTAATTTTTCCAAGTTATAAGACTTCCACAAAAGAATCAAACCTTGCCTTCAGGCAAGATAGAAATGAACCATAACAACCCACTTAGGTTACTACTCTATTAACAGCATGCCACACTACATTCTACATACTAACTACATAAAAGTATTCAAAAGCCTATGTGGAGCTACAACTTACTTTAGGGGATCTTCTTGATCACTGTCTATGCTATCAGCTTCACTGTCAGGGTCACCTCTCCATGTTTGATCCACAGTAATGGGTTCCTGGTCCCCATCACTCCAGCTGTCTTCATCTGAGGCAAGGAAGGGAGAGCAGCCATTAAGACTTCCCACCTCTGTAACTCCACCACACAAAACTATTTTAAAAGATCAACCCAAAACCTCAACATTTGAAAATTAAAAAAAAAAAAATTTCTTAGTTCAACAACTGAGGAAAATAAATCTAACCAAACACTACTTCAAATTCAAAAGAAAATTGAACAGGAATTCTCACCAAATTCCCAACTTAATATTGCCGCATATCTTCAAGGCACTGCACTAAACCAAAGTAAGTTCTTTCTTAACCTTCTTACTCCTTCTGTTATTCTAGGAAGATCCTTACCCAGTATTCGGCTGGCTTCGCTGCGGCTACTTTCTGGAGTCTGAGAACCCAGCTCTGTCTTAGCATATGAGCTCAGCTGGCACAAAAGTGTTTCACCCATAGGCCCTGGGTTGGTCTTCTTCATTTGAGCATGAAGTGCTAGGGCATTCCTACGGGTGTGTTCAGCACAGAAGGATACCCTTAAGGAGACAAGATATTAGTATTAATAGGTTCCCTATTGAAAGGGTTCAGGCATCTTCACTGATCTTTAGATCATTTTTAAGAAATTAAAATGACTATTATATTCACACCTAAAAAAGACAAGTGAATCAGAGGAATTTAACTGGCCTAAGGTCAACTCATAAAGTTGTATGTAGGTTTATGTGTATGTGTGTGGCTGGTAGTCAAACTCAGGCCCTCATATGCATCCAAGTGCTCTACTACAAAGCTACATCCTCAGCCCACATTTGGTAATTATTAGTAGGAAATACAAGTAGCTTAACCAGTGCTCTAACCATCAAACAAAACATTCCCACTTTAAAACTGTTAACATTATTTCATAACAAATCAGAGATACTTATTTTTCAAGATTAATTTTGGAAGGCACATCTTAGTATCAACCCAGTGTGGTTAGTTTTATATGGGACACAATTTAAAAACTAAAAGGTACACACAAAATTACCTAGTAGTCATGTTTTTGCATGGGTAACTATGTATATGATGAACGCTATCAAACCTCTTCCAAAAGAATATACAATTTTGCACATTTTTCATTTTGGGGGGGAGTGATACTAGGGCTTGAACTCAGGGCTTTGCACTTGCTAGGCAAGTGCTCTATCCCTTGAGCAACACCCCCTAGCCAACTCTGCATACCATTTAACAAGATACATGGACAGTAGATAAAGCTAGTAACCCAGCTCAGGGAGTGGTGGTGCCTTCTGTAACCCCAGCACTTCGGAGATTAAGGCAAGAAGGTCCTGAGTTGGAGGCCAACCTGGGCTACCTAGCACAAACCTACTTCCAGAAAACTAAAGGAAAAAAAAGAAAAGAATTTAGAATATCCCTTCATTTTATGGATAAAATTAAAATCCAAAAAGATAAGTGACCCAACTCAGGTGTCCTTCCAGTTTTCATCATTTTAATGTTTTGAGGTTTTTTTTCCCAAAAATATATCCAGAACCCCAATTTTACAAACAGGTGACCTAAAACTTGGCAGCTATGCTCAAACCCACGAATCATATCTCCCCTCTCTTTTTAACACCAAAGCTACAGGGGAGCTGTCAAGAGTGACCGAAACTGTACAGCACCTGTCTAGCAAGCATGAGGCCGCGTTCAAACCTCAGAACCGCCAAAAAATAAAGGTACAAGGGGAGTCTGGAGGGTGTCGCTCATGCAGGAGGCCCTGGGTTCAATCCCCCAGCATTTAAAAAAAAAAAAAAAAAACTTTCTTTAAAAACTAAAAGCATACACACAAAAAAAACTAAAGACACAAAGAATATATCTATACATATTATACCCATCTTTCTTCTCTGGCTTCGGGGCAGCACTGGGACATCTTTTTCCATTCTTCGTCGATATATAACTACACTGTTTGAAGGGTGCATTCTTGTCTTCAAGGATATGCTTAATGCAAAACTCCTGAGAGGCTCTTGAGACCTGGGCACTGGGGTGATCCTCCCCCTATTGGTTGGCAAGACGTGAATCCGAATCCTGTTCATACCAAAACCTGTAGGGTCACATAAAGATCGAAACGCCCTTACCCTTCCCGAAAATTCCTGCCCCACGATATCCGCGTAGACCTCTGTCCTGGTTGTAAAAGACAGGGAGCAGCCGAGCCCGCGGGGTCCGCTCCCTCGGTAACTCCCCGCCGCCCTTCCACGTCCCGGGCTGTGCCCTGACCTCCCCTCAGCTTCTCCCTCCAAGCCCGGCCCCTCCCCCGCGCCACCACGTTGACTGCAGCTCCAGGACTCGCACGGCTGCAGCACGAGAAGCGCCGCGCCAGTCCCACGCGCCCCGCCCCGCTTCCCTGCAAGCCGCCTTTGTCCTGGCCCATCTCACAGCCCTCGGCTGAGCCCGGCCCGGCCTCGGCCGCCGTGCAAGCGCCATTTTGTCCTAAGGTTCCGGGCGCCAGAAAATCTGGCTCCCAGGAGCCTGTAGGAACCGGAGTGACTTCCAGGTGAAGTGGCCACTGTAAGCTAACAGAAAGAGCGAGCCGCAGTCTAACTGCAAAAGCTAATAACAAGCACCACCGCCATCTTACCTCCACCGCGCCGCTAGCCTCCTCTGGCAGAGCCAGCCGCTTCTCACTCCGCCCTGATCCTCTCCGCGCTCCAAACCGCTGATTGGCTACTGCTCCTACGGCGGTGTGCTCCTATTGGCTGAGGTCCCTCCTGAACGCTAAGAAAAGGCGAGGCTGGAGTGGCTGAGATGAACTGTCTGTCAGCAGCTCCATCCCTATGAGAGTGGGCCGGCGGGAAGGCGGGCTGCCGGAAGAATGGCCAGAGTTTTCCACTTCTTGTGCGGCTCAATTTCAAGCAGTTTTTGATTCCTCTGTAATCCTACACTGTTGCCGTTGCCGCTTCGTCACCACCCTACACAGCGGGTAGAAAACCGGGCACTTGCTGTTTATACGTGAAAAGTGAAAAGGCTTAAGTTTACTAATCATTTGGTGTAGAGCACTCAACTTTTGGGAGGTGTTTACCAGGAGTCTGGGAAATCACATGTATTCATTTAATTTTTCAGGGCAACCCTAAGAGGTAGAGACTATTATTATTATCTTAATTTTTACGAATAAGGTGACCAAGGGGAATAGGCCCCTAACTAGGAAATGGGGGAGAGAGGCATATTTGAACCCAGCCTTTGTCCTTTATCTCTTACTGCCTCTCAAGTAGCAAAGGGCCTTGGACTGAGTGAGGATAAGGAAACGAGTTCTGGTGTAGGCCTTGCTTCTCGTAAACTGGTGCATTCATTCTTTAAAATTGTAACTCCATGCTAAATAATCTGGGCATTATAGCAATGACAGACAATAGCCATTTTTGTCATCCTTTAAAGATTTTCAGTTAAAAGCATCTCTCTTGTCATCTCCATCATGCCTCTTGTAGAAATGATATAACATTTTCTGGACTTTTTTTTTTTTTTTTGCATCCTAACCTCCCTTACCTGTCAGTTACCTGTCACTGTCAGTTTCACTTAAATAAGGTGTTGTAATCTTTTACCAAAGAGCAGGTGACCAAGATCATGATCAATGGAGATGAGCACAGAGAATCTACAGCCCTCAAGAAAAAGTCTGTTCAGGGACAAAAATGACTAAAACAAAGTGTGTGAAGGAGTGCTATTTCCAGAGACTAAGGCAGCCCTAGAAAAAGTCTTTTCCTGAAAATCATTCTTTCCACAAATATTTATTTAGCACCTAAAATACCAGGCACTGGGGACACAGAAGAGAACAAGAAAGATAACCCTGCTCTCTTGGAGTGAACATTCTAAAAAAGATTGGGATTGTGGGCTGCAATACAAACATAATATTAAACCAACAATAATTTATAATACAAAAGCAAACACTCCAACCCTCTGAAGAGATACAAAGATGTTTTGTTATAAACACCCTGTAGCTCAAAACTAGCTGGAAGCAGTCTTATTACAGAAAATTTGAGAACCAGAATGTGGAAATATCAAAAAGGAATACTAAAACTACTAAACAAGTAAAGAGGCACAGGAATATATACTAATGCAAAAAAAGATTTTCTTCTAACTAGAGGAAAAATCTAAATCCAAAATAGACAAAAAAAAAATTACTACTTAGAATTACTTCTGGGCTGGGGGCGTGACTCAAGTGGTAGAGCTCCTGCCTACATTCTCAGTGTGTGAGGAGAAGCATATATTAAAAGATCAAGATTTTGGCAAATTTTTCCCCCATCCCTAGCCCCCTCAGTTATGTTTTATTTATGTATTTATTTGTGTGCTTGTTCATTTACATATTTATTTATTTGCTTATTAGTGCGGGGTTTGAACTCAGGGCCTTGTGCACAACCCCTAATTCTGAAGGTTGTTTTTTTTGTTTTGTTTTGTTTTCTTTTTTTAACATCTTAAACAAAAGCCATGAATCCAGAAACCATGATCTAGGATCAGTGCAGTGCCTCACCAAGCCAATCTTGGCAAATTCTTTTATGTTAACGAAGTAGATAACTTCTTCTAATGCTTTCAAATTCTGAGCACTGGACATTTCTCTTTTCTACTGACCTTCCCTTGTTTATCCGTCTTATTCCACTCATAAACTGATGACTCCCAAATGTGTAACTCTAGTCTGCACCTTCCTTTGAACTTTCACAAGCTCTTACCACATGAACCCAAAACCTGAGATCCAGCCAAGATTCCTTCTATTTTTTGTTTTCCTTCTATTATTGTGATTTAACTGGACTTGGTCCTATTGAAGGCAAACACCTCCACTTGTACGCTAGATCAAGGACGTGACTCTACATCTCACATTTTCTGGATTTTTCTCATTAGCATATGTACACGCTGCAACTTATTCCATTTTTAAAAATAGTAAAAATCTTCATCTGGCATCCTACCACTTCCTCCAGCTACTACCCCACTCTTTTTTTTTTTTTCTTTTTTTTTGAGACAAGGTCTTGTTACATAGCCCAAACTAGCCTCAGTCTCCCAAGTGCTGGGATTACAGGCATTCTCTTGAACTCTCTCCAGTTAGGATTCAAGACAATGACCTTCACCTTGCTAATTCCAATGAAGTTTCCAGGCTTCCTCTTATTAGACCATTTTGAAACATCTGATACACTTGCCTACTTTTTGTTTTTTCTTGGCAGTACTGGGATTTGAACTCAGGGTTTCATGCTTACCATGCAGGTACTTTACCCTGGAGCCATTCCTCCAACCACTCTCCTTAAAACACTTTCTAGATCTCCATTTCCTACTTACAGTCTACTTTTTTTTTTTTTTTTTTTTTTTTTGCGGTACTGGGGTTTGAATTCAGGACCTCACTGTTGCTAGGCAGACACTGTACCACTTTTGTGTCTTGTTCTTCCTCCTTTCCCCAAGTCTTGAGCACTGAACACTTTTCTACTAACAGTTCCCTTGCTTATTTCACTGTCTTGTTCCATTCACAAACTCTTGACTTCCAAATGTATATTTCCAGTCTGGACTCTCTTTGAATTGCAGACTCAGTCTTGCCAGTAAACATCTCCACTGGATGGCTGGCATTTCAAATTTAATAAAGCCAGCCTCCCGACCCTCCTGTAGCTATTCCCATCCCCATATATTACTCTATCCTTCCAATTAGTCAGGTCAAACATCCTTCTACATTACAGCAAATTTTGTTGGCCCCATATTCAAGATAAATCAATTCCGTTACCTTCAGCACTTACAAACTTTTGAAGTCACCCTCATCTCTTACCAAAATTGTGAGAGTCTTTGCCCTTGATTCCTACATGACAGCCCACAGGAGCATTTCAAACCAAAGTTGGATGTCACTTGCTACTCTCCCAACCTCAACCTCACTCATCTCCACACCTGCTCAAACATGCTAGCATTTTCTCACCTCAGAATCTTTCATGTTTCAGGTGTTCCCTGAAATGATCCTGTAATGATCTTACCCCAGCTATTCCCATGGCTTGCTCACTCCTTCAGGTCTTTGCTAAAATGTAGCCTCATGATGCCTTCCCTAGTCATTTATTTAACTCAGGGCCTCACAATTTGCTAGGCAGGTGCTCTTACCGCTTGGGCCTCTTCAGCCCCTAGCTTTTTTCCAGTTACAAGCCCCCTACTTAGCTACACACACTCCCATCCTCCTTTCCTTGCTTTATATCCTCCAAAATACTATCACTACCTAACATGCTTTCAAAAGGCAGGATGTTTATTGCTATATTCCCATCAGTAAACAGTACAAAGTGCATAGTACTATTTCCTAAAGAGGAATAATGAAAGGTAAGGGGCTGCCTTAAAAGTACTCTTCAGTTTTCATTACTTTGGCTCTTTGTTTTTGAGTGTAGATGAAATGAAGGGGTTGGGAATTCCACAGTACAAAAAAAAATTAGCACAAGTAGGACAATGTGATAATCCATAAACTAAATCAACTCAGAAAAAAAAAGAAAAAAAACCACCCCAAAGGCCCCAACCCAGAGACTATTGCAAATGCAAGCCTCTAAGAGAAGCCACAGAAGTCTTAGAAAGGATTCAACTTTCTGCAGAATGTTGTATGGTAGTAACCATTTTAGCTCTCAAGTGTCCAAGAAAGGGTAAGATGCAGGCATTAATCATAAATGAAGCCTTATAATTGGACATCTGTAGTCAAACTTTAAATTGATTTGCATCTCATGTATTCTGAAGATAACAAACCAGATCATAGGTCTTTATCTGAAACTTCCACAAAAATTTCAAGATGTAGCAAATAAAAATTGGGAGGCTGTAGATGCAGCTCAGTGGTAGAGCACTTGCCTAGTATGCATAAGGCCATCGTTAATCCTCAGCACCAAAAAAAGGGAAAAACTGCTTGTCTAGCAAATAAAAACTTACTTGAAAAAAATAGAAATCAACACCTAGTACTGCCAAAAAAAAAAAATTCAATCACATTTTTCAGAATTTTGTATCATTCTATTGTATTTTGAATTTTCTTTAAATATTTTTAAACTATATAGCTACAGCTAATCTATAAATGTGGAGTGCTTCAGAATAAAAGTTCTTTCCCTTAAGTGTGTAGTTTACAAAGTTTACCTTGTGTATGCAGTTTTATGTCCCAGAAATTCAATAATGAGTATTCACAATTTTTCCAGGTGCCA